GACAGTGCAGACGAAAATCTGTATTACATGAACAACAGGAAAGTAACAGGTTAAAGGTGCGCCTCTGTCTGGGAATTACGCAGACATTACATCTGGTTCTGCTCTCTCCTTCTCTGGTAGTGGGCTCAGCAGCCAGATGTTAAACCCCACACACACACACACACCTCCCCTCCCTCACACGTATACGCACACACACCTTTTCCATCTCTCTATCGGGAGAAACGCACGAAAGGGCCAGCCAAAGTCCGGCAGGCAAAGCATTACTTTCCCCTCACCTCCGGGCCGGTCAGATGTCAGGGTCGGCACCCCTGGAGGTGGTAACTACGGATTCAGTGGTCAGATGTCAGCGGGGCGGATGTGACTCTGGACAGCCACCAGATAATCAGCGCTTGGTGAATATAGGAGCAGCCCGCACGGTGCTCATTTACAAGACCGGTTGTCGTGTGTAAAGGCCAGGCTGTCTGGCATCCTCTCTATAGCTGGCATAAACCCAACAGACACAGGAGTGTCTATTACTAAAAGGACCATGACCCATGAAAGATTTTCATGACAAAGAAGCAGATTCATTCCAAAAAAAAAAGTGCGCTGGAACGGGTTTGGAGCTGGAATTTAGAACCGTGCACGTCCTCAATGTGGAGGCAGAAACTTGTAGATCCCGTCTTAATTACAGAAACTTTAATCACACCAATCTGAACTCTTGACCTATTTGCTGTTAGAGCAGCAGGTAAAGTGAAAATAGTGATGATTTCATTCAAAGTCTTAAAGCGCGCAAAGGTTATAAAAAGTTGATTCCTTCTAAAAAACAACAAATAAACAAATCAAAAAACAACAACGTAAGTCATTATTGTTTTCTCAGAAACTTTTCTGAAGGAGGTCTGTGATCAAGGTCATTCAATAGCACGAAGTGTCATGGTGTGCAATTAAAAACTGATTATTTGTACAAAAGGAAGTGCAGCTACAAACTTCAAGCAAAAATCACGACTGTCAGAATCCCCCTTTAAAAAAAAGTAACTTAGAATTTCTCCACCTTTCCCATTTCCAACTTTTAATTTTTCCCTGCAAGTTTCTTCACTCTCTCTAATTAATTCTCAATTTCTCTATTTATTTCTCACTTGAAAGCATGAAAAGCAGAGACGGAAAACAATCAGATTTCAGCCAGTGCGTGCAGATATTTATCATCCACTGGAACCGTTCAAGTCCTACCTGTATCCACAATAGTGAGCAGAACACAGAGCAAAGCCTGATAAATCCAAACGTATGTCCTCATGGTTAAAGATTTGGGTGCAGGTTAGAATCCGGATTAAGAGAGCGACGCACTCGGAGCTTGTTTGAAGTTCTGAGTGGCTGATGGTGAGCAGAAGACTTATCTTCCTCACACAGATGTCACCTTCCCAAAAACCCACACGTCCTCGGGTCAACCCCCTTTTTCTCAAGTTTGTACTATCAGCGTCTCTCTGCTGTCAAGCGCAGCAGGGCAAATAGCACGACTTCCGGTTAATCATTTCAAATTAAAACCAGATGCCGTTCTTTTTTTTATTTTCCAATTTTAAACGGAAGCAATGGATTACATTCATTCTACTGTCAACCAATAAATAAGGAAAAGAAAAACGAATTAATGTTACATATAATCCGTTTTTGGCAACTCATTTGGTGGTTGCTGTGTAGAATTTAACCTTTAACTTTAAAAAGAAGTTTATAAATTGTAAAGAAATAACTTAATATTGCTTTATAGATCTGCTGTTAATCTGCCATCGACATGCAGGATGCAGTCTATTTTTATTTATTTATAAGTTCATATAAACTACTTATTACTCGACTACATTAAACTCATTTATTAACATTTTTTTAGTAGTTACATTTAAAAATACTTTATGCATCATTTCCAAACTTTTGCACTTGGACCATCTGCTGCTAAGAAATCCGTGACTGCAACTAATTATGATCTAACACTACTCTGCATAGCCAAGGTGAGGACCTTTATTCATGACCTATGGCTAAATTGTTGTGATTAAGGTAAAAGATAAAATGATACTTGGTAGAAGCTGTTCACCCTTTTACATCAGTGGAGCACTGAGGCTGAAGTGGCCATAGTGTGTTGTCTTGAGGCCATGCAAAATAATTAAAGGACCTTTATTGGTCTGGTGATCATGAGGCAAGAGCTTTTTCTTGAAAGATCCCCTTTTCTGTCCCTCCTCACTTGCCTCAGTGTGGCTCAGCCAAAAAGGCAGATGGGATTCTTTACATGTTGCGCCAAAGAGATCTTGGCACAAGGTATTGATTGCATCCTCTGTGGATTAGCCAGTTGCAAAATACCTTATGTAGTACCAGACACAGTGCACAGACATAAAGAAATACATAAAACAAGGAACAAATAGTTCTGAAATTCCCTGAAGCAAGACACTGAAACTGCAGCAAATACTTTTTCTCTGAACTCCAGCCAATTGATACAAAAACAATCATTCAGCGTGTGAGTGCATGTCCGTATCCTAACTGTCTCTATGATGAATGTGCTCTTCACAGTGACAAACATGCCACCAAATTTGCATGGACTCGCCATCACAGGAGAGCATCTTCTTTCAAAGGCACACAGGATCAATTGTTCTCAGGGAAGTCAAATGACAAAAATGAAAAATATCTGTCAGGGACTGAGCGAATCAGACGGGATAAAAATATATATGAGGTGAAAACAGTTCCAAGAGTCATGGCGTATGGTAATGGCACATTGTAAAGTGACCTTACACAGTCCTAACAACTATATTATTTGCTTTATAAAGGGATACGATTGGCTGGAGCAAAATGCAGCATAGTACTTTCTAATGTTCTCTATCTTTATTATTGTTGCACTGATCACTGGAGTTTAAAAGTGCCATAAAGGTACAATAAGGTCACTATAAAGACAACACTGAGCACCACAGGAACAGTATAAATCCCTATAGGGACGTTATAAGACATGAAATGTGTGTGTTTAGGTGGGGCAGCTGGAAGTGATCCTATTTAGGTACTAGAGTACAGAACTTTTGTTGGGCTCTAACCCTTATTTGACAGGAAATCCACACTTCAGCCGTTAACAGGCGGCAGACTTAAAGCCCTCCAGAGAGAGCAGGAGGGGGAAGAAATGGTTTGAGGTAAATGCCAGACGCCCAGCCCTCCCTCATTAAGACGCGTGCAGGTCATTTTATTTCTCTTTGGTCCCTTTGCTTGCCTTTCGTATGAGTATGTGGTACAAAAGTGTACCAGCAGGTGTAGAGGTGTGTGTATGCGTGTGCTCAGGGGGCTGCAAACTGGAACTCTGTAGGCCCTGGCAGCAGGCGTGTATGCGCGCTGTTCAGCATGCACACAACCTGTCAATCAGTGGTAGAGCAAAGAAGAAATCCAGACACTCGAAATCTGTCTTGGAGGAAATTTCTGTAGATTGGTACCTTTTGAATTACAGCGCGCCCTGTCCCATGTGCTTCACAAGCCTTGCGTAAATAAGTTAGGTTTGACAGCTGATTATGCATCGAGGGAGGAGATGTTGGAAGTTGGAGTGCGCTTTCATAACAGACTAAAGCAATGGGAGTATTGCCTTCCACAATTTATTTTTTTCACTCCAGGCCTGGTGCTGAGGAATCCAAGATGTCAGTCATTCTGCAGCACTGTTAATGAGAGCAGGAGATGTTATGTATGATGTATATGATCGTTTTATTTAAATACAAACTTAAGACGCAATCAGTGTAACTGACATAAACGTCACAACTGCCAGAAACTACATGGCCCAGTTCATGACAGCGCGTTCACAAGCTACTTTTTTTTTTTTATCTGATAGCAAGATAATTCTCAGATGACTTCAAGCTGATGTGCGATCGCCCTTAAATTCCAGCAGGCCAATGTCATCCAGGGGAGATAACGATAATAATTGCAACCTTGATCTTTCTCGGGTCCTTTGGTTCTGCCACATTAAGAAAATACTCTTCCAGGCAGAAAAGAAACAAATGTGATTATTGATTGAAACAATTTTCTTCTTCCTATTCGATCTCAATCTCTACTTTTGTTTAAAAAAAAAAACCCAAACACCAAATGGGCTTATTTTCCCGATCAAACGCTGAGGTTGAAATGGTAAAATTTTAATTTTATTTTCCTATATGGAGGATTGAAAGTGTCAAATCAAAAAAGGGGGGAAAGTTAGAAAATTACTTAATAAATAAAATCATCTTTCATTAAACTGAGCGTAATTGAAATTAACATTTATTTAGGCACAGATGCCTTTATATAATGTGACAGAAATTGATTGTCTGTAAATAAATTTTTCATTTGTTAATTCTAATTTTTGCAGAGTTAGACAACGCCATACACATAGATGCATATAGTGAAAATTATACCACTTAGGTATCAAAGACGTAGTTTTCTTACATGTTACGTATTATTTACATATCACGTATGAGTATATACGGCTGTCTTTTTTGTTTTTTACTCTTGCTCTCTCCATTTATGCCTACATAAACACACATCCATTTAATGGCCTGCTGAGCCAAGTAAAGAGGTGTGGACAGGGGAAGTGCAGAGCAGAGAGACCTTCAGAGATTGGTAGCGTTGCTCATCAAGTGGATTCAGCGAGGAAAGGTGCTTTTTTTAAATTGTCTGCTCACACTGCATTTGTTAAAAGGAGACTCATTCGACTGCTTACAGCACGATGCCAGCACACTGGTGTCTAAGATAAATGGTTTTTAAACACAGCTAATTTGCTTATCCAGCTGGAAGCTCCAGGTCTCTGATTACTGATATTCTGAGCATTTGGGAGGAAGTAGTTCAAAGGGCTACAATAGCAATATTAATAACCCTTTTTCAGTGAACTGCTACATGAAATCTCACAGTGTTAAAGCTTTTAGTGGGAATAAAGTGCTCAGTGATGCACACTTTGATCATATGTGTACATATGCATGCAAATATTTGGTGTTCATAGTTTGGCTTGGATTATTCTTGCTTTTATCTGTACCTGGACTCACCTTATCAGCGTTGAGCCTCATCAGCCATCACCTCTGTTATTTACAACCCCGTGCCCTGAACCAGGGCGGTATCATTTGCTGCACTGGCCATTCTTAATGCAGGGCTTTACCCATTTCTCTCTAATTACTTTACACCCCAGCTGCTCAACAAACACTCCCCCTGTCCATGCTTCCCTCCATTCCTGCACATGAAGGAGGCTAATCACCGGTGTGATCACCCCCTTTTCACCTCTGACCCCGCCAACACTAGAATAACAACCTCCATACCAGCCCCACAACCCCTCAACGCTTTTCCCCAATTAGGAGGGTGCTTTTCCCCTTGCAGATGACAGATGAGGGGTCAGGGGGCTGTCAGACCCCCTTGCTAGTTTCTCCTCATGCCCACCGTGGGATTAAACAGAAGGACGTCCTTGCCCTGGGGAGTGACAAGAAGAAAGAGATGGAAGTCTTGTGGACATAGATAAATAGCTATCGAAAAACTAGACACTGAAGCTCACAGAGTTGGGAAGCGGGTGTGGGAAATAAGAGCTGTTTGACGAAAATAGAAAGACAATATAGGTGTGAAAAGTTGATGGTTGAGACTCGCAAAATGGGTAGACTCTCAAAGAGGATTGGCTGCACCTGAGGAGAAAAGACTGGTGCAGGAACTCTAATTTCAAAATAAAGAGAGCAAGATGTTGATCATGGGAATAGCAAATAGATAGGAAGATTAAATGTCCAAAATAAAAATGAATAAATAAATGAACAAAAAAACAGTTGAAATAGAGAACTGCGGAGGAAGAAATAGAGATGGGTAATGCAGCGTTCGTTGTGTTGCAGCGAGCCTTTTTTTCTCTGCTGCAATAAAAGTCGGTCTGCGGTCCAATGAATCAATGGGTTGGGGGCTTTCCTCTCTCTGTTGTGTGTTATGTCCACCGCTAATGGGCAGCAGATGTGGAGGTATTTCACAAGTGTGGCTTTGGAAAACATTCCCGCACATAAACCCAATTAGGTCGGACCCTGAACACGAGCTAGCTGGTGAGCAGGCGAGCGTGCTCACGACCGCCCAAACTCTCCACAGACTCAGTTGACTTAAATAATCTGATTTTTTCACTGCAGGAAAAAGGAAGCTGCAGAGTTAATTATGCTTTGAGTTAGCCAGTGTTCTAATGCAGAATTTTCAAATTCTTTTCAAACAAATTTTTTTTTTCAGTTTGTCTGCTTTTATAAAAATGGGTCGGTTAATAAGCTCTGACGGCTCAGTATCTGCTGTTAGGTTTTTCGTTATCTAGGTGGTTCAAAATAACCAAGAAAAAACAAATCAAAACCAAAGACATGTATGAGAAAAAAATTACTGATTGGATC